AAAGAAGTCACATGACCAGAACTGTTGTGAAACTATAAATTCGTTCCGACGAAACTTTAGCGACACAAGTCCTTTCTTAAATAAAACTGGTTTATTCTTTCCGAATACAACTTTACGATACACTTAATTTCAACAGTCGCTCTGTAACAACACTATACTTCACGTCTCACGTGGCCAACAATATTTTGTCCGCATACATTCAATTACTCATTAACTACACATTGTCCCTTCACGTTGTGACCATCTTATATATATACCAGACTACCCCCAATCTAGTAATCTCCCGACAATTCACGAAGGTTCGAGAATGAAGTGGCGTGATAATAGTCACGTGACCTCGCTGACGCAACAATACTAAAAGAATAAAACTATCAAACTGCTTGAGCTGTTCTGTGAACATTTTCTTTCGATAGATTGATGTTGGGAAACTTTGAGCATCTTCAGTAATTAGTACGTTATTTTCTTATGCTTGATGGTGAGTTAAGTAAAGAGATAAATCGCTGCATGGTCGAAACTATAAGCATGTATATGTTTATATATAATAAAAATCCCATATGTTGGAAACAATGAGGTACAATGTTTTTTTGTAATATATCATTGTATACGCAATTTGGAAACACCGTTAGAGGGCGGGTCGTGCGTATTCTGAGTTAGAAATGCTAGAAAGATATTTTTGTTTATCATGGAGTGTTTGGTGTGGTAAGTAAATGTTGTTATTGTTTATTATTTGTTATGAACCTTTGATAATATGTATAAACTAATGTATTATATTTATGGAGTGTTTTTAACAAGTAAATATAATTATTCAGATTCATATAAACTAATCAAAAGTTTGGAGATTCTTACAAAAAACAACAACCTAGTTTCCATTATCTAGTAAAGAAAGGAACTACAGTACATTTGCCTTTATTTTAATAAAATTAAAAGTTGTAAAACGATGAGAGTTGAGAATTGTATGTGAGTGAAAAATTTAATTTGTGTATAAAATATGTCAAACATTGAATTCTGTGGACAAAAAAGTTTGGTGAAATTTCTAATCACTATGTTTTTATGTAGTCCATTAAAAATATATATATACTGTTTTTTAGAATAAGAATTCATACATTTAGAAAAGAATCATAAACCTGTGGTGTTATCAAATAAATTAAACTTTATCTTTGAAGCAGAAAAATTGCTCTAATATAGGTGTAAGTATAGTTGTATGGGATGAAAGATTGTTTTATAGGTTATCACTCCATATGATGTTTTGCAAGAAAAAAGGTTAAAGTTTGGTTTATAATACTTTTTATAAGTAGGACATTACATTTTCTACTTCTTATTTTGAGCCGAAAGTCAAAGAACTGACATTAAACATATTAAAAGGCTAATGCTGTTGCATAACTCTATATTCCAAGTTGGTTGTAAAAACTAATCAATATTACATCTTTTACCTGGACAATATGTGATAATATTTTATAATATGTGACTGTTATGAGTAAAGTTAGACATGTTTATAAATTATTCATAGGAATATGGCTGATGTGGTGTTCTGTTTTTGGTTGAACTCCAACAAGTATGATGAATATCTTTTCACAAATATATTATAATATTTTTCTTGAAACAACAGAAGTTAAAAATATACATTTACATGTATATGTAAATTGTTTATAACTAGAATTTTTGTAATGATTCTAAAATTTATTTATTTTTGACAGAATCATTCATTACAACTTTGAACAGATCTAGCGAACTTGGTGATAAGGAGTGGGTACATCTGAGGTGCATAATTGCTTTCCTCTGTGAAATTTTTTGAGCCCTCAATGCCTTTTCAAGGATTGGCAGCAACTGGTTTTACATACTTTGATTTTCAGAATGAAGCATTTTTATCTTCACAACTACACTTATTAGCTTTAAAAGGAAACATTGAGAACATCAGAAAAGTTATCCAGAGTGGGAAAGTTTATGTTGACACTCAAGATCAGGTAAGTTACGTGTTCACTGATTTATTGGTATAGCCTATCCTTTTATCCCTTGCTACATTTTCAAGCCTTCATCTTACCCTATCCACTCTCCTACAGAAATTTTCAATATACATCTTCTTTCTGAATCATTCTGCCTAATTGATGGGGATTTTCATGAGATATTTTCCCCCCTCCTTACCTCCATGTAGGGAAAATTGTCATCTTTTGCCCTTTCCCTACACATGCGCCTTCTCTGCTTTTGGGATCTTCTAGGATGGGACACTGTCTTGTACCAAGTTTCTTTACTGTCCACTTCTACTCAAGACTTATGGCTGGATTTTATTTCTCCACCAGTCATTTGGGGGGGGGGTACTCTTGTGACTTTAACATTGTGTGGGATATCGGCAATGCTCCAATTGATTTTTCATTTTTGGTTGCTTGTTTGGAATCTTGACAGGGTTCCCCTTGTAACTTTCCTTCTTACTTTCTTGTTGATGTGTGTTGGTGGTTGAATAAAGCTCCATGTCGTCGAGACTGCTTCTTTCCCCTCGTTCAGATTTTTTCTCTTCCCCCAAGGTTGGGGGGGCATGGGTAGATCAGCATGAGACTTCAGGACAAAGGTATACAGTCAAAAAATCCTACCATGTTCTCACCCTGGAACTTCCGGCAGTCCGACGTGCTTTGGTTAACTTTCTTTCTCTTGTCGGAATTTGACTGATCATGATCCATTCTGACAATTTGACGGTGGTGGCTTATATCACTCACCGGGGGGTACCCGTTCTGGTTTCCTTTGTGGTAGACCTTGGATCTCTCTTCTTGGGCCCACACACTGACATATGTCAAGTTCTGGGTGCTTTCAACCTCATTGCAGATTGCCTTTCCAGTTCTGACACACTTTATCTCATGGAATGGTCTCTCAATCTTCTAAAATTTCCAGTGGAATGTGTTTGCCTCTTTCCAAGTTATCCACATAAATCAGTAGAAAAGTTTGAATTTTTGAATCAGTATTTATAACCTTCAGGAGGGTTGAAATGGACATTATGTGGTTTTAACTAATTTAGTTAATGGTTGTGTATCCTCTTCCTTTTATAATTTATGACTCTGTTTACTTTTCTGAACAGAAACCATCTGTTTTTAGGTTGGTACATTGAGAGTTGTGGATAATAAAACCACAAATTATTTGAAAGCATAAAACAAAGAGCTTTCATAATATAGTCAATGAAGCTGTTTTAGTACTTTGATTTGAGTGTTGCGATTAGAAAAACAAAAGATATACAAATAACAAATACAAATTCAGTTATTTTGTATTTCATTAACCACGTATGTATACATTTTTTATAAAAAATATATATACTGTTGTAATTAACACACAGAAGCTTCAGGGTTTCATCCATGCAAGTTGGCAGAAGTTGTCGTATTTTAGCCCATTGATTTAACTCCAGATAACTGGGTTAAAACACTGTGTCGTAGTAATCATTCACAGTTTTCCCGAGAATACAAAATGTATGCTGGGGGTAAGAGCTTATGTGCACTTTTCTAACAGTGTCAAAAGGATGTTTTTTGCTGTAAGTAAATAACTTGAATAATTATTTGTTCATCAGCAACTTTGGCAAATTTTGTGGAATTATAGACCTTTTTTTATTTCCCAGAACCCCATTTATAATGACTAATGTCCAATAATATATCACTAAACAATTGCCACTATACGTGTTCACTTTTAAGAGAGTGTGTGGGTCATAAAACTATACATTGTGTATGCTATTGAAAATGTCATATTGAACAGCACCTTAGAAAAATGACTTTCATATCAGAAATAAAGGAATGGTTCATAATAAAATATTTTAAACGATAGATTGAAACCTGAAATAAATTTGACATTTTATATACATGTGGTATATTTGGGTAACACTGAGTTTGTCCAAGAGCAAGAGGATAGGTGTGCTGAATAACAGGAGGTTCTACAAGATATGTGATTGTTATGCATTGAAACAGATGCAAGAAACAACATGTAGTTGACACAGAACCAAATCAACCAGCCACTGTCATGTACATAATTAAATATGAAGTACAGCTGAGTTTGATTGGTTAACACTATGTTACATGCACAACCTATATGATGCACCTGGCATGCAGTAAAAGTGTACCTTCATCATGTGCTCTATTAGCCTCATTTTTTGCATTTTTCAAGTCTATATTTTAACACATCTATTTTATGCTTGTTTAATAAATATCTGTATTTGTATGTGTATTATGCAATGAATTCAGTTCAAATGCACTGAATGATCATTAAAGTACTGACTCTATGAATATTTTCTACATAAGTTTGAACATTTGTTGTATTAAATTTTGTTACATAAGAAAATTTGGAAGCTGAACTATTAAGAAATATATTCACAAATTGTTCTCAATTTTACTGAAATTGTACAATTTTCACTTTTGGTGTTTATAGGAAGGAACAACTGCTTTAATTCTGGCATGTGCAAACAATAACTTTGAATGTGCCAAAGAACTTTTGAAACATGGGGCTAATCCAGCTGCACGTAGAGTAGTAAGTATGTGATTATTATTAATTAGGTTATATTCATGTTTAGGGCCCCTTCACATATGAAAAAAATTATTTAAAGTGCCTGAAGAATTTCTTAAGTAATAAACAAAATACTATCATATTTAATTTATAGAATTTTGTATTTCTTTGTCTTATATTCAAAATAATAAACTGCTAAACAGTTCACACAGATGTTTACAAGGGTCTGTTCCAATATGTAACATTTAGTGATTTAATATGTTGCTTTTTCCAAAAAGAGCCTCCTAGTGGTTTGGGAGTAAGTATTCATTCTTACATTGCAAAATATTTTCTCACTGAAAGAAATTGTAGACACACTTAAGAATCTCGGAGTTGATATTTTTGTCTCTTTTATTTGTAAACATGTGCATCAGTGTGGTGCAATGTCATATCAGTGCTTTCTCCTTCAAACTCTGTATCACCTCTTGGTTCCGTTTCTCTTTAAAAAATGATACTTTAAAGTGAGGATCCAACACAGTAGCTGAAGTGGAATTTGGATTTCTTTGTATTCCAGTAAATCTAGTTTTAAGCCCTTATCTCAAGGATGCTTTCATTTTACTTAGAATGGCTTGTATTATTCTTTGACAGATAGTGACAAATGCCAGCCACAGTTGGGATAACTTCCGAAGTTGTTGAGTTTTTGAAGCTAATGTATTTAGTAATTTTGTAAAATAGTTGTAACAATTGTAAACATGCTTCCAGATGATAAGATTCAGAACACAACGAGCTAAATAATAATTTTAAAAGATAAATATCAGATTTAAAGATAACCATTGTAGATTCAAGAAAAACATAGTTTCTGTTATTCTAATTTTAAGAGCAGTAGGAACAAAATGGATGAGTTCAGGGCTAAAGTTGAATTGGAAGATACGGTATAAATTACTGAAACTTGGTTAGGTTTGAAGAATATTGGTAATAGGAATTATTTTTAAATTTCAATTTATGAGTTATTCAATAGTTGTGTAGTCATTTTAAAGGAAGGATAGAGTGGCTTCTTATAAAAAGGAAGAATTACGTCCTGTTAACATTGAAGAAATAAAAACTTATAGTCAAGAGTTTAAATTTTTAAGAGTTACAATCAAGGGCTTCAAGGATAGAAAGTTTTTAGTTGTTTTTCAAAAGTTGTCTTTCTTTGTCTGTAGAAAGTTTTTAATTGACAATTGATATAGGCCATCTGATCAGACAGGTAATGTCATTGAGAAACTGTATAATCAGATTAGGGCTGTTACTATTAGGAATACTGATGCAATAATTATGGGATACATTAATTTTAGACATATTGATTGTGATTACATTGAGTGAAAGTAATCAGAGAGAAAGATTTCTTGAAGCGATTCAGTATGGTTTTCTGTACTACAGTGGGCTGTCATTTTAGATTTGTTGTCTACCTTTAATGAGCTGTGGTTAGAGTTGAAGCAGAGTAACATTTATAAAAGCTCACTTTGTAATTAGTTTGGTGTTTTTCTATATTTTGAGATCAGTAAAAATGAATTCTAATTCTCACAAAGTCAATTTTGAGGCCATGAGACAAGATTTATCATTAGCAAATTGGGATAAGGAATTAAAAGGTTACGTGAGAGAGACTTGGAAGATTTTTTAAAATAAATTGCATTTAATTCAAGATAGACATGCCCCCCCCCAGAAAAAATAATAATAGAAAAAATTAAACATAATAGGCATAACTAAGGTCATAAAGGATAAAATTTGGGATTATTACCACAAATTCAAAAGTTTATTAAATTGACATATTGAACAAAAATTTTGCAGATCTATAGAAAAGATAGAGATTTGGTTTGAAAAAACAAACTAGGAATTCAGTAAAGGGCTTTTGAGAGATAACTGGTTCATAACGTTAAGACTAACAGCAAAGATTTTTTTTAAATATGTTAAATATAAACAGAATGTTATATACTGCTGATGGCAAGGTTTTTAGAAAAACCGAGAAGGCTAAGCTTTTAAATATTGTGTTCTGGTTTAATAAGAGAGAGGATGTTAGCAATATTCCTGACCTTCAGTATTTTATGGGAAATATTAGAATTATCCTGAATAACGTAGATATTAATCCATTTAGGGTAAATAAAAAGATTACAAACTTAGACACAGGTTAAGCTTCACAATTAAACAGTGTTTTCCCGGGTGATTTAAAGTAGGTCAAATATTTCAGTAGACAGTGGGCAGGTACCTGAAAATTGGAAAGTTACTAATGTTATTCCTACTTTTAAAGGAGTTATAAGAGTTGCATCAGCAATTATTGGCATTTAGTCATGCTTCTATGGTGGGAAAAATTCCAGAGAAATTTATAATGGAAACTTTCAATCATTTAGTAAAATATGATATAAAAGAGTGCCAAAGTTGATTCACTAAAGGGAATTCTTGCCTTACTAACCTGTTCATTTCTTTTGAGGACATAACATGTTATCTAAATTCTTAATGATGAGTAGTTAGATTTTCAAAAAGCTTTTGATGAGGTGCCATACAAAAAATCACTGGTAGGGGTTAAATAAAGATTAGCTAATTAAATTGTTTGGTGGTTTCATGAGAGAAATCAAAAAAGGTACTGTTAATGGAGTCCATTGAACATGGACTTTTGTTGCTAGTTTGGTTTGAGGCCTTTGTTTTTTCTTATTAGGGACATGATTTGTAAATTACTAAAGTTTATTAGTAAATTGTAGTATAGCACTTTTTGATGTTGTTTTTCAATAGAAACACAGTGAATAGCTGATGTATATTAGGCTAAATGGTTGTTTAAACCTGAAACTGATTTGTCCCATCATACTTTCTGTTTAATATCTTGCTATAAAATACAGAGGAAATCAACTAATATATCAGATCTGCAGGACTACAAACTTTAAATAGATTGAAAAAATGTATTAGTTTATTAAATGTGTGAAACTTTGTAAATTATGCAGAAGAGACCATAAATTACAGACACACACATATACCTTAACACTGATTCACACTACAAGAGTTTAAGTTCAATTTGTTTTTTTTTGTTTTTATTTGCTGTGATATAAAGTTTGTCCAGTTAGAAAAAATTTTACTAGGTTAAGAGAATATCATTATTGCTCACACCTTGGCTCATGTAATTCTCTTTCTTCTTACTTGCCTGTGATTTAACTGTGTTTCTTTCTTTTTTCTTACTTTTTAAGTTGTACATTTGCATTTTGTTAAAGTGGTTAATTTCAACATGCATGATGTTTCAGACTGGAACCTCAGCTCTTTACTGTGCAGCCCAAGGAGGTTACTTGGACATTGTAAATCTTCTCTTAGAACTTGGAGCTCCTGTTAATGTAGCTAATTGGGTAGATATTTTTTATTTGTTTAATGTCCGTATAAATGACTCTTTGCTTATTTCAACAGTTACAAATCACTTCAACAAAGTCTTTAAAGTAGTAACTACTGCACAAGGAAACATTAACTCAAGTTTTATTGCTCATCTCTTATTAAATATTTTTTTATATCTGAGTTATATCTAAGAATTACCTTGTATAATTAGTGTATGATGCTTTTGTAGAATTGGGCAGTGAGCTTTAGGATGATCTTGTTAATAAGGTTATACAGAGATGTTTGCTACTTGCTTTATTGTGAATTATTCTTGAGCACTTTGATAAGTGGGAAGTATTAACAGATTCAGAAATGTTTACTCACCTCTGTGTAAAACAAAAAGCTATTACCTTACGCCACTGCCAAGAAGATTTTTGCACAGTCCAGGTTAATTCATGTAGGGGTGGTAGTTTTCTTCAAGGCTTGTGGCATGTGCAAAAACTTTCTTGGCAGTGGTGTGAGGTAATAACTCTTTGTTGTGCAGATAAGTGAGTATCTAACAGGAATATATTTTCATATAAGGATAATTTAACTTTTTCTAAAGAACTAATGAACATTCAGATACATCAGTTATGATATTGGTATTGGTGCTGATAGTAGCACCATCAGCAAGTATAGCAATTCCAACTACCATGGGTGCTGATATAGAAAACTAATTGATTGATTTTTAAAATATTAAATTTTCTCATCTTGCTGGTTGCTCTGATTTTATAAAATGAATTAGTATTCAAAATACTGAATTTTTTATAGTACTTATGGTGTTTCAATTTACACTGGTATGAAAATGAATGAATTAATTTTCAAAATATTACTTTTTTAATATTACCAGCATTGCCAAACTGCCAGATGTAAATATTGGCTATTAGTACCATTGGCAATAAATGTATTGGTGCACTTCTAAAGATTAGAAATACTAAAACAAAAGCATAAGTTAATTGGTAGTATGTTTATTTCAATAATTTCAATTAAGTGTTTTATAAAATACTTTTTGTGAAGTTCCTGTGCTGTATCTGCTACCAGTGTGAAGTGAGTGTTAGATAACTGCATCAGGGCAGTAAGCATCTTCAATCCTTTTGACCAATTACAATATAACCAATCCTCTTATAGAGATAATCAAGAATTAGCTGTAAGAAATTTGATACAAAAATTTAAAGTAATATTCACTAAAAACTAGCAAAGTGGAGTTTCTCAGTGCAGCTGTATAGTAATGAGTTGAATGATAATTTTTTATGTAGGTCTTACAATCTGACTATGAGTTGAAAAGTTGTGAATATCAAGTTTGATATGTTTTTTTAATCAAACTTTGAAAACTGAAATTGCCAGATTAATCTTTGTAATTGAAAATTGAAATCTATAATATGCTTTGTTTGTATACCTAAAGAAGTGGAAATACATTCTCAAAAATCATTAACAGAACTGTGGTTTTTCTGGGAAGGTTATAAAATCCTTGAATGTACATGAAATGTGACTAAAAAGTGGGAGTTGACCTTAACTGAAGTAAATCATATCATTGTTGAGTTGTGTTTTTTTGGGGCAAACATGGGATTTGTGTGTTTAGATAGAGTTTTTATCATTGGTAAACTGTAAAGTTCGGGTTAGTTTTAGGTCAAAATTTCTATTGACAAAAGTTGAAGTTTCTACATACACAAAATTTCCACTTACATGGTCACTTTTATGGTCCTGGCTGGAATAGAGCTCACTTTCAAGAAATGTATACTTTTCTATGACAACAAGAGTTTGAATGAGATAAAAAGATTGTCATTTAGAACTTCCACTCTTAATTTTCATAGTTTCTATTCAATGAAATGTACTGGATTTAGCTATAGTGTTCATCATTATAAGTGGAATCTTAAGAATTCTTGTTTACTTTCACACTTACTGGTGTCTGTTTCTGCACCATTTGTTTGAGCTAATCCAGAAAATCGTCGTGGTTGGTATTAGGACATAACTTCTATGAACCCACATTTATGGGCTAAGCCAGAAAGCCCTTTGTGGTTGGTATTAGAACATAACTTCTATGAACCCACTTGCATGAACTAAGCCAGAAAGTCCTTATGGTTGATGCTAGAACATAACTTCTATGAACCCATTTGCATGAGCTAAGCCAGGAAGTCCTTATGGTTGGTGTTAGAACATAACTTGTATGAAACCGCATGCATGAATTAAGCCAGGAAGTCCTTATGGTTGATGTTAGAACATAACTTCTATAAACCCACTTGCATGAGCTAAGCCAGAAAGTCCTTATGGTTGGTGTTAGAACATAACTTATATGAACCCACTTGTTTGAGTTAAGCCAGAAAGTCCTTATGGTTGATGTTAGAACATAACTTATATGAAACCGCTTGCATGAACTAAGCCAGAAAGTCCTCATGGTTGATGTTAGAATATAACTTTTATGAACCTGTGAAGATCTTTTAAGTGTCATTTTATGCAAATAAGGTCAATATTAATTTCATAAGTTCATTGTATGAAATTGTTAGCAGTTTTATACATAGATATTAAATAAAATTGGTAAATGCTTGCTGTAAATATTAATTTATTAAAGTATTGTTTTTATCTATTTGTTGTTAACAAGTGTGGGATTATAAATTACCTTTAGTGTAACAAATGCACACCAACAGTAAGTGTAACAACTGAGTGTTTAATATGTTCACAGTATGTTATCTTATGATGAAATTCAACTGTATCACAGAACAAAAAAAAAGTTTGTAGTAGATTCCCAGAACTTTAGTGAAGGTTGTCCAAACACAACACTTATTTAAGGACCATCACAACAGGGATCCTGATGGGAATTGTTTGATGGTCCAGAAATTCTTGAAGTAATGGAAGATGCTATAAATGCAAAAAAGTGACAGATTAAGCACTTTTAAGATGCACCGTAAACAGTATTTTTGGATTGTGTGTTTATATCTAGTAAGCTTTGAGTATTAACTTGAGATATCTACATTTTTGTTTATGCCATTGAAAGGTTTATAGGAATCTTCATTACACAAAAACAGATGATATCTTTGCTTTTTGATAAATGAGTTTTGGAAGTTTACAACTTCATCCATAGGTAGACTGGTGTTTAGCAATTTTGAAGCTTCTTTATAACTACATATGTTTATCTTGTAGGATGGAGGAACCCCCCTCATGGTTGCCTCTCAGTGTAATCATTCTGATGTAGTCAAGGAGCTAGTAGCACATGGAGGCAACATTGAGGCAAAAATGCTGGTATGTAGTTTTGTTCTGTTGTTTTAATGATTATCAACCACTTTATAAAGGTACAAGTGTCTAAATAAATTTAACAGTGTTGCTATTTAAACAAATTTTATTAAATTCAATAGTGCATCAAGGATTCACATGTTAAAAATATCATGTATATTACTAACTTCTGGGGTAAACTATGAAACAGCAGTTCCTCAATCTCCTCATAACTCTGTATGGTTGCTCTGTCTTTAACAGGTGCAACTGTATTGTAAACTTAAAATTACTCCTTTTTTCACCTATGACGCTTACATATTTATAGGCTAATGACTCCAAAAAGACATGAAATTGCAATAAAGTACCTACAGAAACTTTCTTTGAGGTTTCAGATGTGTAATGGTTAGGGAGAGATTATATGAAACAGTAAGAAAGTACCCCAGGAAATTTTTTATGAGACCTCATATGAACAGTGCCTTTAAATGTAGTTATGTCTAGTAAGTAAGCTCAAAAAGAATGATTTGATTGCAGTGAAAGTGATATTGGCAATAATTTTCAAAACTGATTTATGTCTTAATGGTGATCTTTAGGGAATGAATTATGTTTTAGTTGAAACCAGTTTTCCAAATGTTTCTTATCCATTTTAACCAACAACTGGTGTGGACAGAGTGCAGATAAACCATTATGTAGCTTAGGAACCCAGAAAGCATTGCCTGTGAAAACTTTCTATCACAATAGCTTCTGTTAGAGATAGAGGAACCATGTGGAGAAAAGAGGAAATTGAGGAATTCCTGTTTTGTAGTTTATCACAACAGATAATTATGTGCATGAAATTTTTAACGTATGAATTCTTGCTTTACGATTGTATTTCTTACTTTTCTTATGATGAGACTAATAATGTGCCCTTGCTAAAAATACTTTTATTTTAACATAATAATTTAGTTTTAGGTGTTAATGAAACTGAAATAATTTCTGATATCATGACAATATATCTTTATAAGAAAACGTGCACCATGTATTTTTTATTTCTTTAACCCTTTGAGTGTGTAATTAAATTTTGGGTGGGTTGTCGAGAAGTGTCAATTTTCTATTAACAAATGAAAGTTAGAATCTGACCTTTTTTTTAGGACTTTTGCAATATCAAAATCCACTAGTTGCACTTTTGCTCGTTGATGTACGCACACATGTTACTAAGGCAGGAAATTCAAAGATGTGTGAGTATCCCGATTGTTGCACCACGAGGAAAAGTTTTTGTGACACTGTGGGGAAAATCCGCTTGTTACACCAAATGGCTATAAATGTTAAGTTGGATAAATACGATTATGGTATCCAAAGGGTTAAAAGGGGTTTAAACTGTTGACAGTTGAAGAGATATATTCATTAAAACAGATTTTACTCTAATTTGAACTGTGTCTGAATTAGTTGTCACGTAGCCTGAACATAGTCAAAGGTTTTCACTAAGTTGCAAGGTGTTAAGTATTAGAAGATATGAAGTTATTTAATTTTGGATAATAAAAGTTCATCTTACAGCCATCTGTTTTAATTTTTCACAGTTTAACTTGGATACTAGCAACATTTCTGCTTATTTTCTTCTAGAAAAATATTGTCTTTATCAAAAAGGAATTGTAACTGAACTTGCCATTATAATTTGGTACTGTAATGTTGCCTTTATCATTTGTATATCGCTTCATAGTGTTTTATTAAGTTCCTTCATAGTAATTTATCTAAAAGCACATGAATTCTGAAGAAAAAAAACTTCTTTAAATCAGCCACTGAGTAAAAGCTGTGAAACTGTAGCTTTTTTGTTGTTAAATTCTGAAGATATTTATCATAAAGAAGCAACAAACTTAGACTGAGAATGGCTTGTAAGGCTGGAAAGAGCACAATTTGGTGAAATGGGTGTAGATGTATTAACCTGTACTATCTAATAGTGGTGTAACTATGGGTGGGCTATGGCTTATTCAGTCAGGGTTTGTATATTACCTGACCATCCATCACAGCTCCAGTCCTGCCCAAAATTTCATACCTTCTCTGCCACTACTACTTAACTTGTGCATTTAGAATGTGTCTTCACTGTTTCTTTTGTTTACTGTGTCATGGGCCTACAGGAATGTTTTATTATTTTTCTTCAGTTTCATCTGAGAGTCAGTCAGCAAATGTTTGAAGATAATGAAATAGAAGCTACATCTAATAATTAGAACACATTAAATATTTAGTTTTAATAATCTGATTTTACCACTACCATGTACTGAAGCACTGAACTGTCTAGCCAGGCATAAATCTGCTGGGTAAACTAGTTTTATTAAATACCATATGGCAGCTATTCTAACGATTGACTCATTTAACACTGCTACTGGTATGTGAAATGAAACTTCAACTGATAACTTCTAAAGATAATCATATTTAAACAATTTTCACATTTGCATTGGTTTCATCGACCAATTCACTAAGTTTTTACTCATAACTGATGTTTAAAATTAGACAAGAAGATGTGTTTTTTTATGCACAACATCGGAATTTTTGACATTATTCACAGGAAAAGTTATTATGAGAAACTGAAGTGTTTTTATAATGGGAAAACTGCCCCAAATGTTTCTGAAACTTTCTGGTGCATTATCTGCTTTACTTTTTTTTTTCTTTTCAGAAACATGACATTTTATTTGTTGCTTACAGTAAGACATATGGAAATCAGCTGATAAAAAATATTTCCAATTTAAATTTGGTGCAATGCCACAATATTATTTACATATCTAAATTAATTTAGGCTACTGCATAATGAGTTAAAGGGGCTTAAAAATTCCATAAGTATCTCCATTTTGATTTCATTTAAATCCAGTGAAAAAACATTTAATGGTCATGAGTCTAGTTGGAACCTGCAACTTAATATTTTCTTATTTGAAACCCAGTCAGAAATTGCTTCATATGATTTCTTCCATATGGTACTTAATTGGAAATTGAATATTAAATATTGCCCAGTTTGGACAATAGTAAAGGATTTGTCCTAAAGGAGACTCTACCTGCAAGCCATTTCATTCTTGATTGAATAGAATGTTTATTTCATAATAGACACTAAGATTCATAACATGTTCATGTTTTGTTGTAGGTTGCAAATTGTATTTTCGTGTTAAAACTATATATTTTATCACATACAAACAGGATATTAATGACTTGTTTTATGATGTAGTTTGATTATAGGTTGTTTAGTTCAGCTGTTTTTGAGCATTAAAACTTGTATGCAGAGATTGTTATCATAATGGAATTGAATGTATAGAAAATAGGTTTTTATGAATTTCTGTTGTTGTTTCTTTAATGAAGCGTTACAACTTATGTGGTAACTGAATTTTTTGTGGGATTTCATATGAATTGATTTCTTTAGGATAAAGCCACACCTTTGTTTGTAGCAGCACAAAATGGACATACAGAGACAGTTTCTCTTCTTGTCTCTCTTGGTGCGTATGTGGATGCAAAAAGAACAGTAAGTATGATTTCTTAGGTCAAGGACTTACTGGTCCACTTAGCTTCTAATATAGAAATTTTTAAGAAAGTGGAATTTGGGGAACATCTGGATGCAAGGGATCATTGCTCTATTAAGTTTGATGTTTTGCTGTGTATGGAGTTTGGGAATAATGATATTTTGGTTACAAATTTCAAAAAAGCTAATTTTGAAGGGATGCGACAAGAATTATCTATTGTGAACTAGGCAGAACAGTTATTTGGAGACATTGATCAAACGTGGAAGTTGTTTAGGATAAATATTTAAATATTCAAGATAAACACATTCCTTATAGAAAAAAGGTGGCTGCAAGTAAAAAACCAGGTTGGCTCATAAAAGGTATAAAAGATAAAATTAAAGAAAAACATCACAAATTTAAGAAATTTAGATTGACTGGTATGACAGGAGATTTGGAGGATTATAAAAGGTCAAGAAAGTTGGTTAAACGGGAAATTAGGACATTAAAAAGAATGCAAGAAAAAAGGTTGGTTAAAAATGTAAAAATTAACATTAAGGATTTCTTTACATACATTAAGGGTAAACAAAATGTTAGGATGGGTGTAGGACCCTTGAGGGATGATAAAAGAAGGCTAGCATATCATGATAGCTGGATTATTAAATTCAGCTTTTTCTTCAATCTTTACTAATGAAGATTAAGCCAATATTTCTCATCTTGAACAGATGATACATAGAGGCAGGGTCAGACAATATGATTACATTAATTCTGAGTGTATTAAAAAAATTGGGAAGTTGAAAAAATGATAAGGCTCCTTGGTCAAATATTATTTACCCAAGGATTTTGAAGGAGGTTAAGTATTGGATATGTGAGCCACTTATTACTATTTTTTTTAAGTCTTTGAGTATTGGGAAGGTGTCAAAGCATTGGAAGTTAGTTAATGTCAATCCCTTTTTCAAGGGAGGTAATAAAAATTGTCCCCATTATTATAGGCCTATTAGTTTTACATCATTTGTGGGAAAAGGTGTGGAAAGTCGGATAAAAGATGCTTTCCAAAGTCATTTAACAAAGTTTAGAATTTTATTGGATAGTCAACATGATTTCACTAAGGGAAAATATTTTCTTACAAATATTTTGAAAAGATTACTGCATATGTAGATGAGGGTAAGGGTGTAGATTTGGTGTATCTGGATTTTCAGAAAGCTTTAGCCAAGGTGCCACATAAAATGATTGTAACATAATTTATCTCTATAGATGTGGTTGAATGAAAGAAAGCAGAGGGTTATTATAAATGGAGTTCAGTCAAACTGGACTAATGTCACAAGGGGGGGGGTACCTCAGGGCTCAGTTATAGGACCTTTGCTCTTTTTTATTTTCATCAATGACATAGGTGAATGAATGGTCAATAAATTACTTAAATTTGCTGAACATTAAGGTCTTGGGTGTTGCTAGCTGTGAAGAGGATGCTGCTACTTTACAAAAGGATATAGATCATTTAGTGAGTTTGGCAAGTAAATGACAGATGGATTTTAATTATAATAAATGCAAGACAATGCATTTGGGTTATCATAATTTGAATTTTAAGTATAATTTGGATTGGAATAACCCTTAACAGTGTCATGAAAGAAAGGAATCTTGGTGTAATGGTTGATCACTCTTAAAATATCCAAGCTGTTGCTATTGGTGGGGCAAATAGGATTTTAGGTTGTATCCACATAAATATTGAATACAAGTCTAAAGAGGTTGTAATTTTATGCTACA